ATTATGGTTGTATCTAAGTATTTTGCAAATATTGTAGATATTATTAATATAGAATTTATATGTAAAAGTTTCTTCTTAACTTAATACAATTAACTCATAAAATTATAAAAAAATTCCAAATATTGAAACACCCCACTTATGGTATAAAAAAGAATAAAAATTTTAGTAATATATATTTGTTGACTTTCAAAACAAAAAAATATGAAGATAAAAACAAATAAAAACACAAAACAAAGATTATTAATTTTTATCAAGTTATAGTGTGGTTCAATGTTGGTTGTGGTTCAGTATAATTAAACAAAATCCAAAATTAATTTTCAAAAAATGTGGCACACACACATTTTGACAGAGAAAGATTCGGTATTGACATACCTGATTGTGTCAAATCACTTGATAATAATTGTTAATGTTAATGTCACGATTTGATCAGTTTAGAAATACGAGCAAATACCACTTCGATTTGAAAATTTTGCTAATTCAAATGTACAAGTTTGAGTCGTGTAAATACCATTTTATAAAATCAATAGGTAGTTGTTGTTTCAATGATTGTATAAGTCTAAGAAGTGTAGATTTACATTCAAATGTTATATATATATAAACATTGTTGCCCGTCTCATGTTGTTGTCAAACATATAAATTGACATAATTAAATTGTATTTATTGTTATGGTCAATCTTTTATTAATAACTAAACCTTGTATATTGTACTTGTTATGCAAAATTCTTATTATATATGTACTTATAAACTAATAAAAGTGTTATATTTTTTTTTCATGCATCCTGTTTTATTTAACAATATATTTTAAAATTATTTGAATTACAAAATTCAAATTCTAAAGTGAACTTTTCAAACCACTTTATTATTATTGTTGTGTGTTTTTTCAAAATTTTAAAATCTGAATTTAAAATTTATATAATATTTTTAAATTCAAGTCAAGAACTCTGTAATACTAATTTGTATATTATAAATTATACTTCTCTACCACTTCGATAATTTTTTCTTGCAATTGCACACTTTACTGTTCAATTTTGTTGGTAGTATAATTATAATAAAACAATTACAGCTAGACGAAATAAACTTCTGCAAAGAATCAACCTTCTGCGGCTATTATTGGATCGGATAATAATTTACATAAAATTTCGATTTTTTATTTTGATTATGAGTTTAAACTAAAATTAATTATTAATGAACACTGATACATTTGTTGATGAAATAAAACGTAAGATAATCGATGGTAATTATGAAATCGACTTTGAAACACCAATACAAAAGAGCAAACGAAAACCCGCTTTAAGCCGAATTGAAATGATTTCAAATATTTCAAAATCAAAAAGTATGTTGACGAAAAAAACAACAACCATCCCTAAAAACATTAAAGAATCCGAAGAATTGTATTTACAATTGGGAAGACGATGTTTTCATGACACACA